AAGTTGTTTTCTACGGACCATCTGTCCCTAGAGCTTAAGACAGAGCCGTACGGATTCTGTAGTAGCCTTAAAGACAATGAAACATCTGGCGCGAAAAATCATAATACGGGCAGTTGTTCTTAGCCTTATGCCGAACAATAGTCAAAACGGATTGCATTAAATCCGCGCGATTCATCGACAGGCCTGCACATCAAGTAAATTTGTGTTTAACACATCGGATGACATGCGAAAAGAATAGCTGACCAGTTAAATTTAATTAAATATTTACGTTAAATAAAGAATTACCTTTCTCACAACAACTTCGCTGAGACTGATGTTGTAAACCGCATTCCTGTAAAAGAACAAGCATGAAACTTTATTGAAAAGACTGTAGCAACTGCATGTACAACATTTGAATTATCACAGAATCACCCGGTATTAGTTTAAACTGAACATATTACGTGCATGTTAGTTTATTATATATGCCTATGAATCAAGGTATATACGTTGGCGATCGAACATGTTTTTGCTCGAACCAAAAGTGTTGTTTTGCGCCCACGCACTACAGGCGCAAAGATTACATGGACCTGTTTAAAACGATTCTTTGGGTCAACAGAAACAGGGGACAGTGCAAATACGCTGAGGGAATCCGGAAAAGTGCCAGAAGATTTTTACATACTTCCTTTGCTATTTGTATCTATTTCATGTTCTATACTTCTACACGAGTCAAGTGATTTCTCTTGTTGGTCAATCTGTTTAAAAGACGGGGTTGATTCGTCGGTTAAGCGCTGAACTTAGAATCGATAACCAAGGTTCGAGCTAAGGTTGAGTCATTCGCCCTTCTTATTTCCAACGTTGATAAATGATAATTTTCCAGTCTGTTAGAAGAAATGAAGAGAATATGCGCTATATTTGTCACAAGTGGCTGCCGACTAAGCTTTTAAACTTAGGTATTCCTGACTGATGAAATAAAAATAGAGACCAGTCCCCCCCACCATTAACATAATGAAAAGAAGAGCGTCAGAAAAGGCCCCATCACAAAATAAGGAAGACCGACATTCCAACGGTCAGCGACCTTGTTTTACTTTCATCTGCTTACAGAATTTTCATCATCAGTGTAAGCACTCAAGAGCAATTGTTAACCTTGCTTTGAATCGACTGTACCTTACAGTTTGCCGAAAGCGGAATTTTTTGGCGATCCGATTCAAATAAGAAATTTCATCCGCTCAAATTTAAAAATTGAACTGGCTGAAACAACGATCGAACTGCATGACCACGGAAGCTCGCGGATCAAGCACAAAAAAAATTAAGTTAAATAGTTTGAAAAAAACTTGTCCCTCCACCAGAGCGAACGAACGCACAGCTTTGTCAAGCTGAGCAGAAATCAAGAACTCGTTTCAAAGCACCATAAACAATCATACGTCAGATGGAACTGCACCAAGCAGTTAGCAAGGTTGAAAAAAGAAATAGCGTTCGAATCAACTACAGTAAAACAGCGAAAGAACGAAACGAACTATAATAAAACACTCCAAATTTTAGTAATGCAGCTGCCACGTTACGCATGGCAGTGTTTATTCTTCTTATTCTGAAAGGGAAAGAGAAATGGTAACGATCTGATGTGGCCCATGCATTTCCACAACGTTTAATGACATAAACTTAAACGATATCTGATTCTAGTGCAACAATACATTCCGTACAGTTCGTATCTGATTCGCTTTTCCAACGCGTTTCCC